TATACGTTTATCATTGTGTGTTAAATATAATATTCTATAGTCCATTATAAATTGTATTCATGCACATTTATAACAAATTGCATAATCAATGACCACAATTTTGAATGACCGGCCATTTAAAAAAATATCTTTAACATTTTCCTTCCAACATACCCAGCTATGAGCCACATAATTTTGTAAAGGTGAAGGTCATCCCCAACAAAAAAAAACAAAACAAAAAGAAACATAAAACAAAACAAACAGCAATTGTCTGTTTAAAGTGACTCATATTTATTGAAATAAAATAAACTATGGATGTCTCCTTTTAGTGCACTTAATCTCGTGTTTTTTTCTATGTATTTTTTCAAAGTAATTATTATGATTTATATTATACATATTTTTGTCTTGATCACATTTATATCAAACTGCAAAACGGCAGCAAACCAGCATGTAAGTATTTATTTGCCATCAAGTAAAGTCATACAATTTCCAGCCATAGAGTTTGTTTTACAATTACACACCCACATATCATCTTCGGCTATCAAATATTTTTCAAACATTCGAATTATTTCTAATATAGTCTAGTGAACTTTAGGCTGTGATACGACTATTTAAATGTATTCAATGTTTAATAATGTTGTTATAATGTATTAAGAATGTTTATTATTTTCCTACACATTATAGTTGGAATACAATATGTAAGTGTTTGCTTATATACGCGGATTTATATCAGAATATGTATCGAAAATAAATACTGAAATTCCTAATAAAATGCCGTCAAAACAGAAAAACGACCTTAGCTCAAGAAACCCTTCTTTAATATTAATGAAATTTGGCACCGCACTCAGCAGCTTTTCATGGTATATTAGGCTCCTAAATTGATGTATCCTTTAAGCTGTATTTCGTGAACATATACATACACACAGGATTAGAGTTTTATGATTATACAGATATTTATTGACGCTGAAACATAAATCGCCATACTTTAAATCAGAAAAAATCATCGAATTTTATGCTGTTTTGCAAACTACTTTATCTAGTGAAGGAAAATCAAACTTATCTCAAAAAAGAAGAAATTGTGTCACTTTTTTCATTCTACAAAAGAATTTGGATCTAGTTAGATTCTTCAGAGCATTTCTTTGATATATTAGGTTGGGTCTTATATAATAGACATCTTTTTATTCTAATACAATCCGCATTGTTATTTCACTAAAAGACAGTAGAACCCAATCACCCAAATTAATGACTTTGCATATCTTTTCTGATTGTCGGTATATGATAGCCTTTGATGTGTTTAACCTCCATACGGCAGATTGCTTTCCAAAAAAGCTTCATAATCTAGTTGCGTTGAATGCTCCTACCGAATTCATTTTTCAACGTCGTTTCTCTAGAATGAGGCTTAAAAAAAAATCGAATTCGCCGGTAAGTTATGAGTCATTGGCCATAACAGGTTTTTCTAGATATTTTCCTAGCGTTATTCTTTTGCTTGAACTTCCACAACATTATGTGACGTAAATGCAGTTTCAATCCAGCCATTACTAGGGTAAAGAAATTTATCCTTTAATCTACTATGCATGCTGCCAATAGCATAAGGTAATCTACAGGAAAAACGGAATATTACTGCGCACATTTCTAATCACAAATTTTAATATTTCTGTTATCACCTCAATATGGTTTTAACAACTGATGATGTATTTCTCGTCGAACACATATTTCGGGAGGGTGGTAGTTACACAGATTTGGGGCGACAGCGTTTTGTTGATAAATTTTCAGATATACATGTTCCATTTTTTGTTCGTAACCTTATTGATAACTTTTGAGAAACAGGATCAGTGGACGGTGCCAAATGTTGTGGAAGGACAGCAAAGCTATCGGAAGAAAACTGTTGGATATTTCTGGATTCTGCAGCAGAGTCCAAGAAAATCATTACGAAAGTTAGCAAAGCTGCAACATATTGGTCTTGGGACTGCTCATAAGACGTTCAGAAAAAAAATAAAACTCTTGCCATACAAAACTGAGCGCGGAATTTAGAAACAAAATAAGAAGAATTTAAGCTTGTATTAATGATCACGTCCGCCACTTCAATCATCCTTTATAATTGTTATTTATATTCACCTCCTGTATTCGATATTAAAACATGTCCACTACTCTGACCCGTCTATTATTTTGGGAAAAAAAAAAGTTATATTTTCATATTATTTTTTTTTATTTGTTTTTAATATAGTAACTAAGAAACTGAGGCACCTTGAAGTTCCCGAGCGGTGGCTAACACCTGTATCAGGCGTATGAATTAACAACTGGTCTCGTTTCCAGCTCAGAAGCGCATAAAAAAAATCAAGATCGACGTATAAACTTGCTTGTAACTGGTTTTTTGACAGGTTAATTCGTCCGTGTCTGAAAAAGACACTTTCAGTAAAAACATATATGCACATCTATTCCTAGAAAGGGGTTAATAAAAATATAAGTGAATTGTGACTTTTCGAACATCCTGTATGTATTCTTAAATACCATTAGTAGTTAGGATGATACATTCGTCTTTATAATGGGCACAGGAATGATTTAAGACTGAAACTATTCTCTCTAGAAATTATTATTTCTGTTGAGGGGTTCTCCCCTTTTTACACAAATGGACTCACCCAATATACATATACTACGGCTACGTGAAGAGAGAGCTAGATCGAAGAGTCGAGTCGAGAGTGACAGATTAAAAGGTTGTAGGTAATCGGAAGAGTGAGGGCTGAGGTAACAGCGTTCTAGGAGTCACAGTGAGCGAGCACGTAGACTCAATAAGAAGTCATACAGCGATACTTCAATACCAAAGACTGTATAGATATATATATGCTACTAACAGGTATTCCTGGAACTACTAACCTGCTTTACCAATTTGTATTATTACGTTAATACATTATTTTCATATATTCATTCCTGGCGTTTGTTATTTATTGGTACCGGATTTCAATTATCGATAAGTCTCCAAAATTCACGTACAAGAGTTTTGTATAGAAGTACTAAATATATCACGGAAAGGTGGAATAATAAATATTCAGGAAAGAGGGTTGTAGACAGAGGAACAGATTGATGAGCTTCTTCTATGTGCCGTTCCCCTTCAGAACTCAAATGATCATGGCTCTCCACAATGTCCTAACTTTTGTATGTCTTTGTAACGTTTGCCTTTTCATCTTACTTCTCTGCTAGTTATGCCATTCATTTACACTGTCTCCTTAGAGAGGCTACACAGTATCTAGTTTCCTCAGTTCTTGCTTTTATTATGTGAGAGTCAAATTCTTCAAACCTTCTTTCATGATTATGCATCCGTGAAATTTCGATTTTCTCATTCCGATTCTAAATATAAGCAACCTTTTTGTTTCCTTCTTTCTTTAAGATATACATTAATCACATGTTCTGTCCATGATATTCTCAGCATCCTTCTGTAGATCTATTTTTCTGTTGCATCTTCTTTATCTGTGAGGAAATTGTACAGCATAAACTACCACAGAATAAGATTGATATTACATCACAGTTCAGCAATGTTTCATTTGTTTCGAAAATTAATTATTCTATTGTTTATGCTTGGCTATTAGAAGATATCTTTTGCTATTCGGATTTCAGTGTCACATATATCGTCGTCTTTAAAAACAATTTCCAGATATTTAGATTTTCGTATGCGCGTGTTTTTTGGAATATCCAATAAGCAGTTCTAATGTTTGGATGTTCCTTTTACATCCAGTCGTATCTTCTGTCTGCTTACAATTAATTTAGTCATTTTCACTCTTTCTTTTGCTAAATTCTCTACAAGTTCCAGCCATTTTCTTTTTGTGTCTGCTATCAACACCGTGTCAAAAGGCATATCTTAATGTTTTTCAACATAATTATTAAAACAATTATGAACGTACTGCTGGGCTCAGTCTTTTGTCAGGTTTCGCGTGTATGGGATTTCGTTGTCGAATCACACTGTTACGGAAACGTCCTGGTCTCTTTCGACATCTAACGTTCTTTGACCACCGTTTCATAATCGACGAAGATTGAACTAATTCTCTGTCCTACTGAATGAAGCCCATGAACAATACATTCTGCGTAACAGGCCATTATTACTGCTACTAATACTGGATCGAATCAGCTTGGAATTCATAAACATGGGTCTCCTTTCTTTTTCTTATTATGATCTGCAGCTCTCCAATGCTGCATTCTGTAGTTTCCAGTAACCTCTCTTACTTTTGGCTTCAGCAATAAATCCGCGACAAATTTAGCATTACGTCGCTATCATTGGCGTAGAAATCTTAATCTATGCTTCGCTTCTTGTTTTCTTCTTATGTAAGAGTTTCCTGAAGTATTCTTATGTAAGGGATTCCTGGAGTATTCTCATGTAAGGAATTCCTGGAGTATTCTCATGCAAGGGTTTCCTGAAGTATTCTCATGTAAGGGATTCCTGGAGTATTCTCATGTAAGGATTTCCTGGAGTATTCTCATGTAAGGGTTTCCTGAAGTATTCATAACTAAGTGCCATTTAACGTTTCTTCCACTGATGATGTCAGAGTCGAAATGATCGAAACCATAGACAACAATGTATCCACCAGCTGTAAAAAAAAAGAAGCTAACGTTAATGCTCTGAGAGGAAGTATGATTTCCATAACGTTTGAAGTTAGTCTTGCCTTTTCTGTTGAAGTTGCCATTTTTAGAGCTTCGTGGCACTTAAAATAAGAAGCCGTTATCCTTAATGCATTTCTTGGATGTTGAACTTTTACTATTTTTACTACTACTGAGGCAGTTACAAAATGCTATGAAACTGACGAGAGAGATCCTGTTTCCTCAGGACAATGCTTCAGCACATAAGTCCAGGGAGCCCTATAACCGAAATGATGTCCAAATTTCCTGAAGATAACCCGACAAAGGCCTAAAGATGTTCGAGAAGATATATAGTCGAAACGATGTGATAAACCAACAAAGATGAACACATTATCCGCGTGTAAATAATGATAAATCACATTCTTAAAGAGAAATATTTTACAATATTTTAATTCATTTTATCTTATAACGACGAGTACATTACTTTTCGGATATTCTTCCTCGACGTGGCTTGTAAAACAAAAACCAAAAAAGATCTTATTAGCCTTTTCCAAGAACGAAAACTTATCCAAGTTGTAGCTAATTTTGAAGGCGCATTTCTAGCATCACAATCAAATCTAATGCTTTCAGGCTTCTCCCACAGAGATTGTAATTAGGGTTTCTACGAATTATTTTCTCTTTCAAATATGTTGCTTTGTATTAAAATGAAATTAGAAAAAAAAACCCTCTTTTACATGCAACAAATAAGGTATGTGTCTTAATTAACTTTACTGCTAATTATCTAATTAATTACAACCCACTTGGTAATTCTAAAAAATAATTTTGATGGTTTCTAAAAATAAAAATAAAAATATCTGATTAAAATGGTAATTAGAAAATATGTTTTCCCTTTTTAGCGCGAGAAAATGGGGTCATATTTGCCTCTGCCTTTGAGTTGATAATTCAATGAGAATTTCCATCACATTTGGTGTGTCGAGTTTTCATTCAGTCATAGTCTGGATATTTGAAATTATTTCTTTATACTAAATTTTACTTGAGACGGTTCTCACATTATTCTCAGCAGAGATGATTACTATCAAACATAAAATACAAGGCTGGAGACTGTTCCACAAGTCTTGGGAAAGAAACTGATCGGAACTTTTTTACTTATATTTGGAACTCAGAGAGATGACGATAATTCAACTGAGTAGAAATGGTATGGCGTTTCTTAGTTGCTATGGCATCAACTAGCCAGACTAAAGAATGGAGCGCTCATCTGTACTTTTACCGTGGAAAATGCGATAGTCGATTGTCGAACAGAAAATATGTCTTTCCCAAAAGACCGCATAAATCATTTTTTTCGACTTCTATGGCTGGAAACTGAGAATTGGCAGCGCCATCTCAGATAAGGCCGAATGTTTTTTTCTTGGGTTTAATCTCACTCTTGTAAAGATACAGCACGGGAAGTCTCAAATTCTTCCTGGATCGTTAGAATGGACCGAACCTTTTCTTCTGGAGTGGAAGTGAGATCTCATTTAAATCCCATAATTTTTTCATTATGGCTGGAGAAAATTCATGCTCTGAATGATGATGATGATGACGATGATGATGATGATGCTGATGATGATGATGATGAAATTATGCCAATTTTATTTTTCCGATACTTAGAATTACAAATCAGTTATTTCTCTTGTGAGATTTTTAGGGTTAGGTGGGGTGCAGATCAGCTGCATAGTTCCGATTATCTTATTGAAGTAGATTCATAAACGGAGGCACCATCTGCTGAGATGTTTACCAGTACGTTGTTTGTCAAAGAAATTAAAACCATTAACAAACAACATAATTTTGAATGAAGAAAAAGGCAGTTAGTTTCATGATACTCATATTATGTATTGAAAAGTTTCTGTAGAGATAAAATTAGATAAAGAAGAATTGTTCATTCTCATAGTAAAGAAAAAGGTTTTCCGAGCTAAGGTAATAAAGAAAAGCAAGAAGGAAACATCAACTGGAAAAAGACGATCGAATGGTTGTTATCAAGAGAGACAGGCTAAAATACGAGTTATAAATTGGATACGTCAAAATAAAACAATTCACCCTTGTACAAATTAATTGAAACAACCACTTTAGTTCCCTTTCTTTCCCCATACGACCAGTTTTACAGCCACCAGAGTGGCAAGGTGTAATCGATTTCTATTTTCTCCTCATATTAAGTCATTTGGAGTGGTGTGCAGTAATATGGATCTGTTTTCGGTGTGTATGATAAAATTTATTTGGCTTTGAAAAATATTGCGTCATCCGTGATTGAATCAGATTTTCATCACGCCCAGACACTATTGTCTCGACTGTCGATTAGTATTCCTATCAACTGTTATAAAGGACAATATGGTACAGAACTCCAAATAAGCATTGAAGTAATGGAAGATAAAGCATTAAGACTCCTAAAACAGTGTTGAAGTGATATGTATTAGCAATTATTCTATATGCCAATGAATGCTAGACAATTTTTTCACAGATGAAGAGGTGACATGAGGCAACAGGTCCGCTGTTCTACAGAATAATACTGGGATTACAATGGTCAGATCACGTGAGAAACGAGGAAGTTTTAAAAAAGGAAACAGTTTGAGAAATGAAACAGATTGGGAAAGGAAACAGATTTGGAAAGGAAACAGATCGAGAAAAGAAACAGATTGGGAAAGGAAACAGATCGAGAAAGGAAACAGGTTGAGAAAGCAAACAGATTGAGAAAGGAAGCAGATTGGGAAAGGAAACAGATTGAGAAAGGAAACGGAGTGAGAGAGGGAACAGTTTGAGAAAGGAAACAGATTTGGAAAGGAAACAGATTGAGAAAGGAAGAATATTGGGAAAGGACACAGATTGGGAAAGGAAGGGTATTGGGAAAGGACACAGATTGGGAAAGGAAACAGATTGGGAAAGCAAACAGATTGAGTAAGTAAACGGTGTGAGAGAGGAGACAGTTTGAGAAAGGAAACAGTTTGAGAAAGGAAACAGTTTGAGAAAGGAAACAGATTGTGAAAGGAAACAGATTGAGAAAAGAAATATATTAGGAAAGGACACAGATTGGGAAAGGAAACAGATTGAGTAAAGAAACGGTGTGAGAGAGGAAACAGTTTGAGAAAGGAAACAGATTTGGAAAGGAAACAGATTGAGAATGGAAGAATATTGGGAAAGGACACAGATTGGGAAAGGGGACAGATTGGGAAAGCAAACAGTTTGATAAAAGAAACAGATCGAGAAAGGAAACAGATTAGGAAAGGAAACAGATCGAGAAAGGAAACAGGTTGAGAAAGCAACCAGATTGAGAAAGGAAGCAGATTGGGAAAGGAAACAGATTGAGAAAGGAAACGGAGTGAGAGAGGGAACAGTTTGAGAAAGGAAACAGATTTGGAAAGGAAACTGATTGAGAAAGGAAGAATATTGGGAAAGGACACAGATTGGGAAAGGAAGGATATTGGGAAAGGACACAGATTGGGAAAGGAAACAGATTGGGAAAGCAAACAGATTGAGTAAATAAACGGTGTGAGAGAGGAGACAGTTTGAGAAAGGAAACAGTTTGAGAGAGGAAACAGTTTGAGAAAGGAAACAGATTTGGAAAGGAAACCGATTGAGAATGGAAGAATATTGGGAAAGGACACAGATTGTGAAAGGGGACAGATTGGGAAAGCAAACAGTTTGAGAAAGGAAACAGATTGAGAAAGGAAACAGATTGAGTAAGGAAACGGAGTGAGAGAGGAAACAGATTGGGAAAGGAAACAGTTTGAGGAAGGAAACAGATTGGGAAAGTAAACGGTGTGAGAGAGGAAACAGTTTGAGGAAGGAAACAGATTGGGAAAGTAAACGGTGTGAGAGAGGAAACAGTTTGAGAAAGGAAACAGATTTGGAAAGGAAACAGATTGGGAAAGAAACAGATTGAGAAAGGAAACGGAGTGAGAGAGGCAACAGTTTGAGAAAGGAAACAGATTTGGAAAGGAAACAGATTGAGAAAGGAAGAATATTGGGAAAGGACACAGATTGGGAAAGGAAGGATATTGGGAAAGGACACAGATTGGGAAAGGAAACAGATTGGGAAAGCAAACAGATTGAGTAAGTAAACGGTGTGAGAGAGGAGACAGTTTGAGAAAGGAAACAGTTTGAGAAAGGAAACAGATTGAGAAAAGAAATATATTGGGAAAGGACACAGATTGGGAAAGGAAACAGTCTGAGTAAAGAAACGGTGTGAGAGAGGAAACAGTTTGAGAAAGGAAACAGATTTGGAAAGGAAACAGATTGAGAATGGAAGAATATTGGGAAAGGACACAGATTGGGAAAGGGGACAGATTGGGAAAGCAAACAGTTTGAGAAAGGAAACAGATTGAGAAAGGAAACAGATTGAGTAAGGAAACGGAGTGAGAGAGGAAACAGATTGGGAAAGGAAACAGTTTGAGGAAGGAAACAGATTGGGAAAGTAAACGGTGTGAGAGAGGAAACAGTTTGAGAAAGAAAACAGATTGGGAAAGGTAACAGATTGAGAAAGAAAGAATATTGTGAAAGGTAGCAGATTGCGAATGGAAACAGATTGAGTAAGGAAACGGAGTGAGAGAGGAAAGAGTTTGAGAAAGGAAACAGATTTAGAAAGGAAACAGATTGAGAAAGCAAACAGATTACTAGAAGATGTGATGAGGATAGAGGATAGAGAATTGACACACAGATGATATAATGAAGACACAAAGCAACAACGAGTAGCCTAATGAGGTTTCTGAAATAGATGACAAAACATAGTCTGAGAGGTACATCAAGGGAGGAAACACTTTTTAGTCGAAGGAGAACAGGGATTGTGAAGGGCCTGGATCGCCCACGCCCGCAAAGGTCAGGGTATATAGACGTGACGTATAAGCTCCAGTGAGAAAACAAAATCTTTCTCTTTGTATAAGGAATCATATTGTGAATTAATTCTTATTCATAACTTCCATATTACGAGTCAGTGTCAGATCGTTACACTGTTTAAAAATTTTCTAATTTCACGTGATTGTTCTTCTCAAGCAGAAAAAAACCCTGTTTATAAGTGCGATATATTTAGCTCCTCAAAGGAATAATTTTCAAACCACATAGAAAATATTCACATTCATTACATTGTACTGAATGTTGTCCTCATCTATATTGTCATGTTCACGACCTTTCGGCCATTATACGCTCTGGTCTTCATCATGTGATATACGATGTCATGCCTTTTCTGGATAGTTTCAGTTATAGACAGTGAACATCACTGGAAAATACGAAAGCTCAAGGAATCAGCGTATATGCTAGGCAACAAAAATCTCCTAAGCCGGCCAAGCATAGAAATGAATATAATATGAGAACTGGCAATACAGCGTACTAGAGTAAGAACAATAATATCAAGTTGTAATATGAGCTCTTGTAAAAAAATGTTTACTGAGACATTAACTTTATAAGTGCCCAACATTCATTCACTGATATCTAGGTCAATTAATTAGGAAAGAGGGCTTGGAAAATTTTATACCCACAGGGCATATGAAGGATAAGATAATCAGGGGAAGGATGTAGGCGATATACATGACGAGTTTGTGTGAATAGATTGTGCGCGTGGCTTAGTAATGGAAGAAAAATGCTAAGAGCCACAAGGGATAATGCTAAGATCTGCCTCTTATTCTGCTGTCTCCGTTTGTACCTTGGTTGTGATATGATTTTTGGTTTTTCTGACGAAGCCATACCATTTCAGTTCTTCTTCTTGATGGTGGTTAGGGGATTTTCCAGTAGGCCATTGTCTGAGGGTGTCCCACACTGCGCCGTACGTGTTCCGGTCTGCTTATGGTAGCTATAAGAAAGTTGCGTAATCAATTAAAACCTCCGAAATGACAACTTGTTATTCATGAAATATATGGTCTATAGAAACAGTTTGGTCGATCTATTAATAAAAGCAACATATTTTGTGATTTTCAAATCTAAATTTTATTAAACAGCATATTTTCCGTTTTGTGTCCTTTTTCAGGCAATTTCATTATTCACTTCTCAAAAAAATATCTTACATTTCTGAATAAAGAAGAAACTAATTTGATTATTATTAACTTTCAAACGAGAGAGTATAAACTTTAAAAAGACTTTATCCAACTACAACGAGAAATCAACTTCTGCAATTTATAAAAAACGAGGTACATATATTGTAAAGACAAGGGGTGAAACAACGAAAGTGACTTCTCCATAACAAACATCAACATGGCTACCTGCCGTAGAGGCATCGTTCAGAATAAATCTCCTGCCAAAAAGTGCAAAAAGTTTCACTCGTTCGATCCTTTAATTCTTTCTAAACTGCGCAAGTATTTTAGTCACAATTTTTTTCCATTACTTAAAATAGAGACATTTTCAAAATATGGCTTGTTTTCTTCCCTCTTCAGTGGTAGATTTAATAAACACAAATGCGCAAATGTTGAGAAAAATTGTTATTTAAAAATACCCCGTTTATATGACAGCTGTCAAGATATAAGCAAATGAAATCTATATGAATGAAGTTAAAATTAAATCCAACTTCTGCCTAAAACATCTTGCACTGCACAGTATTTTCATAATTGGTTAGACTATTATATTAAAATGGATATAATTATAAATACGAGTTATATATGTAATTTGTGATGTCATAAATAGATATATGACGATTGGTTATTCCTATTCTGTTTTGAATGTCTCTTACAGTGGATAGCTAATACTATTTGAAGAAAAATACCCTCGTACAGTTGTCTGTCTTCAATGCATAAACTGCATACATGGGATTTATACTGCAACTAAACTGAACTGACGTTTGTTAAGTTTTTGGGAAATAACACAAAATATGTCTTGGTCAGTGGTTGAACAATTGCAGTAGTCACAAATCGTCGGCCACAAAGGCTAACAATTTACTGCGCACACAACTAGCGACGGATTACGTACGGCTTTTGCACTACACGATTTATTGCTGCGTCACTCGCTGGGGCCATCTTCCAAGTAAGTAACATCGATAATGTCCTCTCTGAAGAATCGTACATTTCGGGATTTAAAACAAGTTTTCAGGGAAGAATTATAAAGAGACTCTTTTTTAGGTGTTGAAACGGACTGTCACCATTCGATTTTGACCTCAGAGTCCAATTTATATATATATATATATATATATATATATATATATATATATATATATATATATGTGTGTGTGTGTGTGTGTGTGTGTGTGTGTGTGTGTGTGCCCATGCCCATATACAGTAGCGGCCATAATATAAGGAACAGAAACAACAAAGACATAAATATGTGTATTACTAAAAAAGTAATGCATGATTAGCAATTAAATTTTTACCGAATAAAGATTAGGGCGTCATGCATAAATATTATACAAAGTTACAAAAATTTACATAATAGTTTGTTTTTTTTTAAATAAAGATTAAATGGAACAAAGGAAATACGCTACTGGACAAAAGTTAAGGAACGATATTAATAATTTGCATAAACTTTTAATTTACATTGTTAAAAAACTCGATGGCGCTTTTCAACAAGTAAAAGTTCATTTATCATTAGGACTTTATTTTTAAGCAATATGGCAAATTCTACACGCAAAACGCTCTCTTATTATCGCTAACTATCAAGAAAAAAAGTCAATTTCAGAAATTTCTGATATTGTTCATAGGTCTAAAAGTGTCGTTCATCCTGTAATTAGCAGGTATAAAACCGATAAAACGTTAGATGCAAAACCAAAACCCGGCAGACCTCTAAAAACATCGCAAAGAGAAGATCGAAGAATTGTTAGAATATCTACAAAAAACCGTTTTGAAACTGCTACATCAATTGCCCGTAAATTTAATGAAGAGACAGATAATAAGATCTAAAGGAAAACGGTTGTTCGCAGGTTAAAAATTCAGGATTGCATGCCCGTATTCCAGCTTCGAAGCCTTTCATTTCAAAGCGAAACCAAAGGTCACGCCTGGAGTATGCGAGAGAACATGTTGTTTGGACTGACGCACTATGGGATACAGTTCATTTCAGTGATGAGCAAGTTTACTATATTTGGTTCTGAGGGCAAAACTTACGTACGCCGTAGAACAGGTGAAAGACTGTCTTCTCAATTGGTCAAGAAAACCGTTAAGTTTGCTGGCGGCAGTGTGATGGTGTGGGGAATGATTTCATCAGCAGGAGTTGGCCCTATCATCCGCGTACATGGCAATATCAATGCTGAGATTTACAAAAGACTTCTTCAGCAGTATGTGGTACCAAGATTACACCATAATCTTTATGAATCTCCTATTTGTTATGCAGGGTAATTCACCTTGCCACAAGGCTCAGAAGGTTATGGCTTTATTTGAAGAAGAAGGAATTTCCCTAATGAAGTGGTCAGCCCAGAGCCCCGACCTGAATCCAATAGAAAATGTTTGGAAGATAATTGGAGAAACGGCTCAGAAAAAAACCCGAAAAACCAGGATCACTTATGGGAGTTATTGAAAGATGAATGGGAGGGAATTACTGCTGATTTTTGCAAGATATTAATTAGATCATGTGGTCGACGATGCAGAGAAGTCATTGAAAATATGGGGATGTTTATCAAATATTAAATTTTGTTGATATTTTGTTCACAACCACGTATTAACAAGATCGTTCCTTAACATTTGTCCAGTAGCTTATTTCCTTTGTTCCATTTAATCTTTATTAAAAATAAAAACTCAAAAAAACAAACTATTATGTAAATTTTTGTAACTTTGTATAATATTTATGCATGACACCCTAATCTTTATTCGGTAAAAATTTCATTGCTAATCATGCATTACTTTTTAAGTAATACACATATTTATGTCTTTGTTATTTATTGTTCCTTATATTATATATATATATATATATATATATATATATATATATATATATATATATATATATTCTGTGTGTGTGTGTGTGTGTGTGTGTTTATTATAATAATTATCCGTATATATTATATAATTATACTTACACATCTTGAATTTTTTTGTATTTCCAACTAATGAATAACATATTTTTCATATAATTAACTGTACACAGATGCATAAAAACTAAATATGAATAGAAAATAGAAAAACATGATTTTAAAAGAAATAAATCCCATTTATCCATTTTAATGGGAGAAAAAAAGTATTCGTGCAATACGAAAAATAATACATAATCTTCATTTAATGTAGAATAACCATTATTTACTTCTACAGCAAACAAACTCTTCTTGTAGTTTTTAATTAATGATTTGCAAATTTTAGTTTCTATTTTGTTCCATTCTTTTTCGCATATGGTCTTCAGATCCGGCTTGTTTGTTGAGGCTCGCGATTGGATTTGTATTTTCAAATAACTCCACAGATTCTCGATTGGGACTAAATCTGTGGAATTACTTGACTCTTTTAGGATATTTACATTAATTTTAGCAAGCAATTTCTTCGTAGATTGCAGAGTATTTAGGATGATTATCTTGTTGGAAGATCCAATCAGGAGGAAGTTCAAGATTTTTATCCGAAATCATTAAATCTACGGCATTGATTCTACCATCTCTTAATGATATGATACCAGTACCTTTTGCAAAAAAAAAAAAGATCCCTAAATCATGATGTTACCACCACCAAATTTCACTGTTGAAATTATGTTCATTTGTTTGAAGGCATCGACATTTTTCCTCCATACATGATTTCTAAAATTACGTTGAAACAACTCAATTTTAATTTCGTTTGTCTATAATCCTCTTTCCGAATACGTTCTTTCCTTATCCTTATGTTCACGAAAGAATTTCAAACTGGTATCTATGTGTCTTTTCAATAGTTTTCAAATGAATTTAATTGCTTATTGACCGTTTAGTGACACATATTCCTGATGAAAGAAATCATCCTGCAACAATTGATATGTAACAATTTGATGTGGTCTAATTTGATGCATTAATTTCCTGGAAGATCTTGAAGAAATCATCCATGGAGCACCTGTTTTTCTTTGTTTTTCAGTATTTTTGAGTTTTATTTATAATTTGCGATGAAGAAACTAACGGTAGTAAATCGAATATTCAGGTTGTCTAAGATTTTCGTGAAAGCCAACATATTTAGTGTCAGTCAGAATTTCTAACACTGAGCTATCATCACTCGGCGGACAGGAACAGCTAATTCTAGCTATTCTTTTTTACGAATAATATATATATATATATATATATATATATATATATATATATATATATATATATATAACTAATCTGTTAAGAGACCGGAAAAATACCGTACCACTATTATACATATATACACTGAAAATGCCCGAAAAGGAAGATTTAATTAATCTTATTTTGAATTTTTCCAGCATTCTAATATCTAAAATATTCAACAAAAGTTACTTAAATCTTCCGGACGTTTTAATATTACATATACAATATGAAAGGATTATGATAAACGCAAGCAGACATAATGTTTGTAATTTATTCAATCAGATATGACTAAAAGAGAATTTGCTGCCTAAATACACACACGTGTTTGTGTGTGTGTGTGTGTTTGTGTGTGTGTGTGTGTGTGTGTGCGTGTGTGCGCGCGTGAGTAGAGTACATGTATATAAACTTGAGCAAAATTATTTATGAATTTAGATGCCCTATGGGGAACGGCTTTCTCGACGAAAACAAACGGATAAATAATTATATTAGACGCACCAGAAACACCTATCAAGACTACTGATGCTGCATCTATCTGAGTTCAATACGAGCATATCTAAACCTGCTTTCAATAGGACCAATCTTAATATGCAACAGAACAGTCGATTAAATCGATGTGATAGGTACACCATCTGCAAAAAGTTACACACACACACACATATATATATATATATATATATATATATATATATATATATATATATATATATATATATGTATGTATGTGTGTGTGTCTCTGTGTGTGTGTGTTAATTGCAGTACCTTGTCAGTCGTTTTTATGAAACTTGTGCAAAAGAGTAATTGCTTCTCAAATACATAATTATATATGGAGGTTGGTTTTGAACTCTTTAAAAATAAAAAATAAAAATTCACTTGCAATACCATCACTTGACACAACACCAGAATTGCAGAAAATATGGGTATTTTTGGAGTGATGTTATAACATACTTATGTTATAATATTTAAATAAATATCATACATATATATATATATGTATGTATGTATGTATGTATGTATTCAAATAATAGGAAAGAACAGTCAGATTTATAACTCCGTGATTTTTAAGCAATTATTTTTATTTAAAAAAAAACAGTGCTCAATACAAAGTAGAGCATAATATTGGAATTATTTTTTAAAAATATATCTCCATCTCGTTACAGAAATTACGGTTTCGAAACAGTAATTTATCTGTCGCAATGGAGACATATTTTAAAAACGAAAAAAAACGATACATAGCCAGAAAACTACATACGCAATTATTTCCATTTAATGGCCCCCAGAATAATTCTAATCATAAGCTTTACCGCCCACCCAAATAAGCGTTAGATTAATACAATAGGGCTAAACATAATACACCACTGACCAGCATATATACTTAAACATGAAAACTATAAACAAAAATTTAAAATTCTTGAACCTATATACATAAAACAGTTAAAAGGTAACCTGAACAAAATAAACTATGAAATATCCACGAATATTCTTAAATGCCTATAATTGATAACAGAAGCAATTGCTTTATGCCAACGGATTCCCATACTTAATATTTCTCGCTTTCACTCTGGCGTGGTCATGTGTGACGTCATGAGCTGTTGTGCGATTTTCGCTTCCAGCATCTCGTATGCACGAGTTTGTCGTTGCTTGGAAATCTTCCATGCAAACAAAAAACAGACTAACATTATTGCCATATCCGCGTATTGTGAAATATATTGTAATGTTATTTTCATCTTTGATAATGGCTTATGTAACCTGAAAGCTTAGATAGGATTAAAAAATATGTATCAATATAGTGATTTTCTTTTGTCTTTTAATGATAATGCTATTAAGCATATCAGAAAATATGAAAAGAATTTACATTAAATAAATAGACAAAACTTGTCAATATTATTTAATGAAATATATATATATATATATATATATATATATATATATATATATATATATATATTGATGCATGTTTCATTAAATATATATATATATATATATATATATATATATATATATATATATATATATATACATGTTTGTACATGCGCGTGTGTGTGTGTGTGTGTGTGTACAATTTAAAATAAAGCATTAAAATATTTTACTGATGTAACAAATTATATGAACTCACCTATGTTGGATGTTGAAGAAACTTTAAATAATGCATCAGTGCTGTTTAGCCTGAAAAAAATATCCATTTACATTTTTTTCTGCCACCGTATTTACGCATTTGCATTTACGCATTATGCAGATGATACCTCTCCCAAAAAATGGCTGCAATCTTCCAGGCGTCCTCTCCAACTTCCTAGATATAACGTCAATGTAGAAATAACTGGCATACAACTTTCAACATCTCAAAAGCTAAATTTAATCTTTAACTCGTCACTGTTCAGAAACAGTTTTCTTTTTCGGTCCGCTCTAAATGAGGCTCCATATTTTGAATGTCTAGTAAGACTCAATTTTAATCTCGACCTCGAGTCGAACTCATATGTATACCCGACAGTTCGCCCTCTGGATTTAATAATTAGTAAGTCTCATAGATTTTTGAGTTTAATTCACACCTACTAGACTTAGATGCTGGAAGTATTTAACCAATTAATGTATGGCATCTAATTATTTTGAAGACAGGATTACCTAAAATTTAAAATCCGCCTGTCCTAAGATTAACATTAACCAACAAGCCAATTTAGGCAAAAAGAGAAAAAAAAATCAGAAAAATTTATGCTGTAATGTATTAATTTCCTTATTATTATTATTATTATTATTATTATTATTATTATTGTTGTTGTTGTTTTTCATTTTCCTTCCCGTAGAAGTTGCAGATTTTTCAGTGCAGATATTGGCCAACTCTGTCATGCCTTGTTTGATATTCAGTGGGTGACAATACCGTGCAACCTGATGCAAGATGAGCGATTGTTTCTGGGTAATTATCACAGAATCTGCATTTTGGGCTAACACAATATCTTAATACGTGTGCTTGATAATTTCTATTTAACAAGCACTGATCCTGTGCAGCAAGGATAAAACCTTCCGTTTCAGCTTTTAACCCTGCATTGATGGGTACAGGGCTTGTGTACATCAGCTTGTTTGGTACGGACAGAGTCTTGGCCGTGAAGCGGTTTATCTGGCCATTGTTTCTGTATCTGGTTGGTTGCATTTGTTTTTCTTTCTTTTTTATGTATTTTGCAGCTTCAGTCAGTGTATTGTGCTTTACTTGTATTGCTGAATCCATTTGAAACTCCATTTTTACCTGGTTTTTTTTATTATTATTATTATTATTATTATTGAATATATGATAAAATTATTTCAGAAAAAGAGAGTCCCCCTGACTCCAACTAGCAAATTAGTTTTCAGTAAGACACGTTATCATCAAGTTTTCATCGGTTCTTCGTAATCCAGAGGTGACCTCAAAATCGTGGATCATAGTGAAAAGGTGAAAATCACTGTGAAAATGACTTCTTATATCTTTCCAGGAAAAAGTTCAGTTTTATGAGGGAAGACAGAAATTAAAATCATATCCCAAAGCAATTGTTCTATCACTAATAAATAAACTCTAGAAACAAAATGATATCTCTAAAGATCATCACCGAGCCAGAGTTGCTTGGTTGTTTTCTTAGCGGCATATCAACCATTCTGTATACAGAGTTATCTCAAATAGTTCCATTATACTGTACGTAGTAATGAATATTGTACTGACCTCTTAGCACTCTGTGAATGTCAACTTCTAAAGACGCTTTCTTTCTATTAAGGTGGTCAATGCAGATATATATATATATATATATATATATATATATATATATATATATATATATGTGTGTGTGTGTGTGTGTGTGTGTTGTGTGTGGAAAAATGGGGGTAAAGGCCAATTTATTTAAAGTATTCTGCATTTGAAATTAAATTAATGTTTCATTCGCCTGTAGTTTAACATCGCCCGAGGAGACACATTTTTTGTGTTGAATCATAATTGTCATTATGTAGAGATTTTTAATATTTTATTATCCTAAAATAAATAATATATTTATTTTATAATAAATAATATACATTTATTTTACACACACATACATATATGTGTGTTTGTGTGTTTGTGTGACACTGAGGCAGTAAGGTCGTTAAACATTAATTCTAAAAAGAAAAAAAGTGTTAAACCCCAAATGAAATAAAACTGAAAGATAGAGGAAAAGAGAGAATGGAAGACATTTTCCATGGTAATGTGGAAGTGAAGAAAAGACCGTCTGTGATGCCTCATACCTCCGAATTTGAAAGATGCATAAAAAATGGCTTGGGAAATTGGAAAAAATACATTTCACTGGCGAAAAGAGAAGTCAATGGGAAATATATTTTCGTTAACGAAAACGAACTGAGAAAGGAAATCAGTGAATAAACCCGCTGCGAGGGTTACGATTATGAAAATAAACCCGTAATAACAAGCATGTTATCTGGTTTATGTTTTCGCTAAGATGGCGACCGGCCAAAGTATGGAAAACAATGGAAGGAATTGAAATTAATAAGCAGAATAAACCACGCCGTTTCTCCTACACACTTTAAAATATGATTTGTCACAAAGACAGTTATGTCAGAGAAGGGAGCAGAGTTAGAATACCGAGAAGGAAGGAGGAAGGGAAAGAATTTAGCCCCGCCTGTGCGGATTAGGATTCGGCATGTGAATTGAAGCAGGTTGGAGTTAAGGGAGGAGCAATCCCTGTAACTGCTCCCAAGGAAGATGGATAATTCTCCAAATTTGGAAAGTTGATTTTGGAAGCAGAAAGATGGAATAAAGAAAACATTTAATGGAATTAATGAAAACTGTGGAATTACCGATTCTCCAGAACCCTTCATTCCTAGTTTTTGGCCGAAGTGTATATAAGCAGGTAACTTTGGGGAGCTCAGAGACTTTGGGGTGAGAACCCGTATTGTACATCTGAAATCCATGTCAGCTGCCAGGAAATTTTTTGATTCCAATACTTTTAACCCAGCTACTTCAAACTGAGTCACTAAAGAGATGTCTGCAGGAAGGGTTAATTCTATTTTATACTAAGTAAAAAAAGCTAAATAAACCAATTTAAGATTAACCCTAACAATCTCTCATTTTATTTTTCGTCATGAACATATTTTATTTATTTAATATAGCACCTGGGGCGGCTTGAACCAGCGCTGCGAGACTACGACGTTCGATTTTCCAGTGCTTTCAGAGCAAGAACACAGTACGTGCAAAGTAGGTGTGGATCGAAGTGTCCAGCGACTAACAGCCATATTAGATCAGCATCAGCATTAACCAGCGCAGATTTAACCCCGTGGTTAAAACGTCGTTCTAAGACGCTAAGGACCGGATCACTAAAAC